ACATTTTTCGTGGCGTCCATCTTTATAATCTACGAGTTCCCCCGTAGAGCTTCTTGGGCAATACATGAGAAGATAGCTAAGCCTACAGCAATTGCTAGCGATGGCTGCTGGAAACTCACAAAACGTGACTAAGGAAACTCTGCCTTTTGTCAATTTTGATCATAAGACAATGCGTTGCCTACTTTGTCTAATATGCTTTGATTGTGTCACTATAAGCATTTCATAAAGGATTTATCTTTAGTGACAGAACCCATTTGAGTATACCTGATACACACAGATATAACAAACATAACTAGTGTGTTGCACAAAGCTTCACAATGCCAATCTTCCTTGGCACGACACACATTACTGCATAAACGTATAAAAAGATGGCGATCAACTTGTAACTTAATTTCTACTTTCTCACAATTCCCTAAGGAGTTACCTTAAAAGTTGTATTACATAAAATATTTTGTCGTCCCATCTGGCAGTCATAAGATTAACCCTTTGAGTGCTCAGACACCTCTTCTACTCAAAGGGTTTAGCATTTACAATCCCCCTCTCGGTGGTTACCTGTATATTTATACTCTGAATCCACAGGCTGAACATGCCTAAGGCCTTCTGTACACCTCAATGTGCAGGCTATTTTATTAACTCCTCAATGTCCGTTTCATGTGATACACCCAGGCCGCTGTTAAATAAATCCATATCAATGAGTGTCTGAGTAGCTTTCTTTATAATACCGTAGATATCTCATCTCCACCGGTTGTGTTTCTATCTCATACCTATAAGTAACTACTGCAGGTTTGCCCATCTGCTAGACTACAAAGAGCGAAATCCCCAGCACTTACAGGGTTATCACACACAGACCTTTCCACTAAAGCCAGACTTTCAAATTTAAGGTCAAAACAGATGAGTCGGATATACTTTTAGTTTGGCTAATTTTGACAGACATTTGAAATTCACTCTGAATTCTAACTTTAGTTAATAGCACTGTAAGTGAAAATTGCTGGAAATTGAAAGTGGATTTCACATGTTAGACCAGAAAGGCCAAGCCAAAAACAGATTTGATTTAAAGAATTTTTATAATTTGACTTTTCTGGCCTAAGCTTCAAAATCACTTTGAATTCCCAGTAATTCTCTCTTTAGTGGATAACCCTGATAGTCATTCAGATCTGTGAAATTGACATTTTTCCAGCCCTGGGTCTTCCACAGAATGTGCTAGTAAAATCCTGCCAATTCAGCACATTATCTGTTTGGCTACATCTGTTATTTCCTGTTTTCTTCTAAGAGGAAATAAATGTGGTCAGCTGTGACTGTGCCTTGCAAAGATGACCCTGGCAAGCATGCCTCTCGTCCTTTGACATGAATTGGATTTACAGAACCAACACCAAGAGAAAGGAGGAAGCCATGTCAGCCCAATCTGGAATGTTGTGTACCTCTCGATTACTGAAAATTCCATAAACCCTCCATTAATGGATATATGGATGTATGATCAATAGTGAAATAAACTATCCAAAGCTGATGGCTCTGGGTTCATAATCACCGCAGTCAGCGCTTCCTAAAAGTGAAAATCTCACTATTACGTAAGGAAAACCTCTGGGCACCTAAACAACTTAAATCAGTATGAAGTTGTTATGGTGCCAGGAGGTCTCTGGCGCTGGCTTACCTTTAGGGGTTAAACCATTCAAAGTCTTCTCTCCAGTACTTTTTAACTCTGCCCCTGTCCGTCTGCTTCTGTGAGATTCTTCAAATTAAAAAGCCTTGGACAGGGGCGCCATTGATTGGCCACCAATTTGCAAAATGGCTCGAGAAACGTACATATTTTTTTCAACCTGTTTTGTGAATGAGGAGCTGAGAGCGACAGATGATGGTCTCAGCCGAAGCTTCCTGTTTGAAGAATTTGATAGAAGTGAAAGGACGGGGCAGAGTTAAACTGTGCTGCTGAGAAGACTTTGGGGTCAAACTGTTCATGATCAGTTTATAAGTAAGCTGGTGCAAGGGACCTTATGACACCAAAACAACTTCATTCTGATTAAGTTTTTATGGTGCCCGGAATGTTCACGAAGCAGCATATTGCTGTGATCTGAAAATGTGAATGTTAAATTTAACCATAATTAGCAATATTGTGACCCAATATGTGTTATCAAGTTATTATTCAGTGAATAAACCCCTAATGAAGAATTTTTTTGGTGTTTATTATATAGATATAGATATTTAGAGACATGAGCCAGGCACTACTAGGCAATGGTTTTTTAACATAGTGTTTCTATAACTGTTTGAATATAGTAGAAAATATGAGAAGCGTTCAAATGGATATTTTGCAGAAAACTATATTGCCAAAAAGCAAGCAGGTTTGAAAATAAGTCAGTGTTTAATTCCCCACCAACTCTTTAAATTAATCTTACACGATATATTAAATATTCTATATATACTGAAATTATGCTTGGTGGTTTGGTGTCAGACAATCAGGCTACCTATGATCCCACACATGGCCACTTAACAGTAAATTCATAGGGAAGAAAACAGCAAACTGCAAATGTAGGCATGTTTTTATTCATTAAATTGCAAATTGTGAAGAATTTAAAGTGAATCGTATATTTCATGACAATTTAGCCAAAGTAAGAATATTACATTCATTTTGAACTCACATTGAATTTCTGTTGATAATCCTGTTGTCAATATGTCAGATATCTCAAATCCGCGTGATCTGAGCTGGATAATGTAGCAAGGTAGTTGCTCTTGCTCAAATACAATGATAAAATGAAGGCAATATGTTGGTCATATTGGCGATTATTTTTGGATTGTATATTGTCAAAGGCTCTTTGTGTCTTGACTTCACGTTTTGCTTTTAATCCAATTTTTTGTATTGTGTTTTCTCTTAACCGTTGTTCTCTTTCATTTTGAATTTAATGTGAATTCTGCAGTTAGTGTTGAAATGTCCGTGAGATGTTTGAATATCTTCCTCTGCTCCGAAGAAGGAAACGCTTCTTCAATCTGTATAAATACCTGCATTTTACCCCTTTCAAAAGCTCATTGTAAATTAAAGAGTCAATAAATGCATAACATTTGTAAGAAAATGCCTGGCTTGTTTCTGTCTCACAACAATTTATATATAATTTATAAATGACACACTTGTCCCCATATCTGATTTAATTAACCCCGTAGGTATTGCATTTCCTTGCCAGAACTGTATTCTGTCCTTCTGGATCAGTGCAGAGCTATTGTAAATTGAGAACCCTCCCAATATCATCTCATCCCATTGTACAGCGCTACGGAATTTGCTGGCGCAATATAAATAATAATACTAATAATATAATCTCATCCTACATGTTACAAATGTACCTTTTGTAGGTCAAACTTCAAGGCAGTGTTCTAACAACCAGGAGAGAAGAGGGTCAGAGGGCTATGAGAGCACTGAGCATGCTTCTGGGATTATTTATTATTTTATTAGCATTAATAAAGTGCCAAAATATTGATGATTTATGGAATGGGAATGTTTGGTGACAAGTAAGATGTAGGGTGAAAAAGGCCCTGCTCAAACAAACTTAGAACCGGTTTCCATGGCAGCCCGCAATGCCCTGAATAGTACAGATCCGTGTCATAACTCACTGTATGTGGGCTTTATCCAGAAATCCTAGTTTCATTGCCAATACTCGTAAAGCAGGGCATATAAAGATTTATATTTGTCTATTTTTGTGACATCTTCTGTCTATCACTTGACTGTATTTCTGCTTCTACGATAAGGAATACTGCACAGAATGTTTTAATTCTCTCACTATCTCTTTACAAGCGAATGAATTAATAAAAAATAAACAGACGGTGCAAATTTACATAATACATTTTTAGGTGTCCCTGAAAAGCAGGTTACAGGTGCAATTGCTGTTTTAAGTTTTTTCTAAAGTTTACCCGTGTTTCAAAAAAATAAATGTCGTGCTTATTTTTCTTCCAACAAGAAGAACTTGGTGGTGAAGGTTCTAAGAGCCTGTGCGGGTAGGCCTCATCTAAATACGGTATATTATACACCTATATTATTATGTTATTATTTATATAGCGGTGCTAGGATAATTACAGCGAAATAATTGGAAGATAACATTAAAGGGTAACTCCAAGCACCATAACCACTTACGTATGCAATGTATGTTTACTGTGGGAGGAGCCATAAGAGAGCACTGGACTGCTACTGGTAAATCTGGGCATACTTTGCACCTGTGGTCAGCATACATAGCATGTTGGAGATAGACGACCAATAATAGCATGGCCTTTCTCTATACCACCCAAGTCCTTCCCTTGGCCAGTCTTCTGGGACATCCCTCTCACTGGAATGATGGCATGTCATAAGGGAGAACTTGGCCTCGGCGTGGGATCACAGGCAAGCTTATAATTTCTTTTTTAGTGGGGAACATGCACTGGCATAGGTTGCTACAGCCAAAAACAGTGTTTTATTTAATTAAAATGCTGTTTTTTTGGGTGGAGTAATCCTTTAACAACATTTTTGAGGTTCTATACTTTTCTTTTTTAACATGTGAAAAAACCAACCATGAAAAAGATGGTTATTATCTAGCACCCAGAGAACGCATTCAATAATGAAGACAGGTAGTAGAAAGCATTCATCTGAAAACCACATTTATTACGTAATTCAGTAGGAATTTCCACATAGCTGAACAGGGGAAAATGTGCAATATTAAAAAAAAATGATATTACTAGAAGGAAATGGGGGCTTCACTTTAGTGTTATCACCACAGGCACCTGAGGACATCCATATTTGTCAAACTGAAGCCTTAATATTAGATTTTAACAGGGGACTCCTGCCACCATAACCACCACAGACTTATCTCTGTTTAGCCCTACACTCTCCCAGAGCACCCTCACTGTGTCTGTGCACCCCATTATCTGCCCAGAGCTCCATCACTGTGTCTGTGCACCCCCTTATTTGCTCAGAGTTCCCTCACTGTGTCTGTGCACCCCCTTATCTGCTCAGAGCTCCCTCACTGTGTCTGTGCACCCCCTTATTTGCTCAGCTCCCTCACTGTGTCTGTGCACCCCCTTATCTGCTCAGAGCTCCCTCACTGTGTCTGTGCACCCCCTTATCTGCCCAGTGTACCCTCACTGTGTCTGTGCACCCCATTATCTGCTCAGAGCTCCCTCACTGTATCTGTGCACCCCCTTATCTGGTCAGAGCTCCCTCACTGTGTCTGTGCCCCCATTATCTTAGTGTCTCCCCTCACTGTGTCTGTGCCCCCCATTATCTTAGTGTCTCCCCTCACTGTGTCTGTCCCCCCTTATCTTAGTGTCTCCCCTCACTGTGTCTGTCCCCCCCTTATCTTAGTGTCTCCCCTCACTGTGTCTGTCCCCCATTATCTTAGTGTCTCCCCTCACTGTGTCTGTGCCCCC